CTCTTCACTCCGGCCAACGCCACGCCCTCCGCAACCTCCTCACCAGGTACGTCCAACTCCAACATTTCATAATGACTATAGTGCCCTCGATATTTGAAGGATGTACTCTTTCATGTACGAGACACTTTCTTACGTACGGTGTGTTACCGCGACAATCTCAAATAGATAATACAATGTCACGTGCAAAAGTAAAAACACATTGCGTCGCGTTAGTCGTTTGGAATGCAACGCTGACCTACCGTTAGCAAGTAAAGTCCTGCATCATGCCATCATGTATGTTATGTTCTCCAAAGGCCAAATAGTAAGATTGTTGCCATTACTGAACTTGAAGTGTTAAGAGAGAAAGAAACTTGTATAAAACGAAGGGGTGTGATATCCACACACCCCATTTTACTTCTCACACACCCTTCTAATTTTCGGCCGTCGGATCGGATGAATTGAAGAAGATCAACGGATAGAAATTAACAAGGGTGTATGAGAAGTAATTTGGGGTGTGTGGATAGCACACCCCAAAACGAATTCACCTGTTATATGACATTCTAATTTAATAATATAATGTCATGTGACGAAAAACTTTCATATAATATTGTATTATTGAACATGAAGCCTGAACCCCTTTTAAGTAAATATATCTCGTTTAGAGGGGTGAGGGGTACAGTTGATAATATTGTAGTAATCAAGGGCTTTGGTTCAAGCACATTAGTAGTGGGTAATGAAGTGCTGTGCACGCGCTTGAGAGAGAGTGGAGAGAATTGTTTAGTAAGACGTGTCCGACAGACAGAAGGCGCCATAAACGCGTGGGTTGTTCGAACGTGTAGAAGAGTTCTGCCGTCCGAGGGACATTTTGGTCCTTTCGAGTGTTTGCAATCTTTGTCATACTAAGATAAATGGTGTACACGCGCCTCTTGGAGTGTGGGAACATGCGCTCCTGTTCTTCACATGGAGTTGACTTGTACTAGTTTGACTCTTTCAATTTCTGGTAATGACTAGGGTTGATTCAGACTTATGCAGATTTTTGTGCATAATTTGGGGATCCTGAATTTATATAATTTTTTCAATGAGTTTGATAGGTTATTTTAGTTCTAGGCGTGAATTGTTTGTTATTACCAATCAACAATTGATACTCGTTCAAAAACTGCAAACAATACATTAAAGACGTGTTCAAGACATGAATTTCAACGGGGTAAAACTTCTTCTAAATGGCAAAACTGAAGCGGACAAAAAACACACAAACAACTTAAGAACATCTTGACTTGTCCAACTAAATATTCAATCATCCTCGCCCACAAGCTGTTGCCAAGAATTTACTCAACGAGATGTCAAAACTTAGTTTCAACGTGTAATTTCGTTTATCTCTTCCTTGTCAAACATATGACGGGAAAGTTAAATAAGGATGTGAAATGACTTGTAAGATGGTGTTCTAAGTTAGTGTTCCACCATGGACTGTTAGGATTAATCTGATGGAAATCCAAGTTGGAATCTTGTATTGACATCGATCTGAAACATATTATCTTATGCTGATTAGGAGGACATCATACAAAAGCTTTCAATTGTCCAGCTAAATTTTGACGTATCTGTACTCACATCGGATGATTAAGTACGCATTAGTTCAAACCCAACGCATGTTGATAATTTGTGGATTGACTTAATTTTGTTAATCTTGGTGCTGCAGTTTCATAGCCAACCACCACCAGGGCTGTCTAATGCTGTCCATCACCCTCCTGCCATCCGCCCAAGGGTTCGAGCAAGGCGAGGCCAAGCAACAGATCCCCACAGTATTGCTGAACGGGTAAGCTAAAAATTTCATATCTAAGAGAACCTAAATTCTTCTTCGTGGGAGAGTTAGCAGTAAGTTTATTCTCATTGAAGACGTCCAAATCGCTTCTCCAATCCTATGCCTGCTTATCCAGTGTTATAGGTAATAATATACGTATGCGTATGCGTATTTATCTTCTTGGTGCAGTTACGTCGGGAAAGAATTGCAGAAAGAATGAAGGCTTTGCAGGAATTGGTACCCAGTTGTAACAAGGTTAGTGTCTTAAAGCGAGTTTTTGTACCTTTTGCTGCATGAATTGCACTTTTTTTCTTGTTTCGTCGTGTCAAATTATTAACGATGTTTGAGTATGCCTAGCTTTTAGTATTAAATTCTAAACGTTTTGACATGTTATGATATCCTTGTGCAGACAGATAGGGCAGCTATGCTTGACGAAATTGTGGATTATGTAAAATTTCTAAGGCTCCAAGTCAAGGTATATGAATCAAAATTCAAATATATTCATCATCTCAAAAGAATAAATAATTGTACTTCCTCATCCTTTTAACCAAAAAAAAAAAAAAAAAAAAAAAAAACGTTTTCTGCTCCAAATTAAACGCGTTTTTTGAATTCATTGTTACTTCGGAAACTTGTACCAAATGCTAAAGTCTTCAAAATGTTTTCACCGTAAGGTAGGTCCTGGTCATGTCGCATATCTGAGGCATCATTAAAGGCATTGATATACTTGCTTTGTATGAACTAATTATTTTTTCAAACTTGAAATGACTGTCTGGTTGGAACCTCTATTTCAATGAAGTCATAATCAAACAGAAAATGACACAAGTTATGCAACGTTGTTCAAAATTTTGGAGTTAAATCAATTTATTTTCTCGATGCTTATTGATCTGATTTTGTTTATATGGAACAATGTTTTAAAAGGCTCGCCTCATGGCGCACCTAGGCGCCCTGTGAGGCTGGGCTTAAGGGTTGCCGCCTCTATTTTGAGGGAGTGGGCGGAAGGCATCGTCGAAGCCGCCTAGGCGCGCCTCTGGGGATTTTTTATTATTTATTTATTTATTTATTTTTGTTTTTGTTTTGTTTTTTTACTCCCAAACCCAAATTTTGGGTAGGGTTAATTGCCTCATACATCTTCCTTGCACTATCATCTCTCTGCTTTTTTTTTTCTTTCTAATTTTTATTTTTTTATATAATGGATGTGTGAGCTATCTGCGTGCATTGTTATATGTGTGCTTATTATGCTTTTCATCCTCTATTATATATATATATAAAATATAATATATGTATAGATATGTGTGTTTATGTATTTATAATATATGTGTGTGCTTAGGGTGATTATTGATTAATAATTTTTTTTTAATGTAATATATGTGTACGTTTAGTGTATATATTAAAAAAATTTAGGTCTAGTCGCCTCACGCCTAGGCTGGGCTATCCTTTGGACGCCTCGCCCATGCCTCACGCTTTTAATACGTTGATATGGAAACAGGTTTTGAGCATGAGTCGACTCGGGGGAGCAGGCGCAGTGGCTCAGCTTGTCGCTGACGTACCCCTATCAGCAGTTGAGGTTTTTTCTCTTCACATATTTTAAATTGATCGACTTATTATGGAGGCAGCATGTATATTAGAATTCGCTATTAGATTCATACGGTTCACTGCGGCAAATGCACATGTTATAATTACAAAAGTTTCTCTAATACGTAACTAGGCTTGATGAACAGTTTACAATGTATTGATAAATGAGAGTAGTCTATGTACTAATTCGCCCTTTCTGTCTACTGTATTTTGACTATTTTTCGGTTTTTGCTTTTGTTCCAATGAAGGGGGAGGGCATGGAAGGAGGAACCAATCAACAAGCATGGGAGAAGTGGTCGAATGATGGCACAGAACAGCAAGTAGCTAAGCTGATGGAAGAAGATGTAGGAGCTGCCATGCAGTTCCTCCAGTCCAAGGCACTCTGCATCATGCCCATATCCCTCGCCCCAGCAATCTTCCGGACACATCAACCTGACGCAACGACAATGGTGAAGCCGGAATCAAACTCCTCCTCATAAGCCTATCCAACAAAGCATCCACTACTACATGCCCCCATCCACGCCTCCCAGCACGCTTATGGCCCCCACGTCCCGCCTTAGTACCCTTGTCACTCATGACAACGGATATATTTACAGGTCAAGATCACTCAATTTTTTGATTTTTGTCAAACAAGGGACTGATTGTCATGCCATTGGAAACCCTAGGGGAGAATTTTTCAAAAGCAAAATTGATGTGTTTCCTCCTCTTGTAATATCAATGGTGCGGTTAGTTGAATGAGTGTGACCTTAACATTTGGTGGTGGGAACTCTACAATTTTTCTTGTATGGATAATGGGAGATGGGGCCAACCAAAAGGGATGTAGGGTTTTTGCATTATTGTATTTTCAGAAATATATATTGTTTTTTATGCAAGTTGAAAGTTGGATGATGGTTGGTTGTCTTGTAAAGATATGTTGGAAGCTTCTGGTTTTGCAGAAAAATATGGATCTGAGTTTGTTGTTTCTTTAAAAGTGAGGTGAGTACTTTTTTCAAATTTGACGAATCATTATTGGGGGTAGAGAGATGGAAAATGACATTTTCTAAAAAAATAAATATAATAATCAAAAGTGAAAGTACTATTACGTGTGACTTATTTACTTGAGTGACACGTGTCATTTTAACTTGATTTATTAAGAAGATAAGATGAAGAGTTAACACTGACAAATGAGATTTAAATGAATGATCAAGTTAGGTTGGAAAAGAGTTCCTTGTTTTGCAGTGCCTAAAAAGTGAAATGAAGCTGGTAGTTGATTTCCAATCCAATTTCTGTGGCTCCAGATCAATCACTGTATAAATTCAAACGATTGTAATTTGACTCCTTTTTATAATCTTGAAAAATTGGCTAAATTATTCGGAAATCAAATCCTGGTTGCTAATTGATCAAAATCAAATAGCAGTGACATAACGATAGACTTGAAAGATATCTATTTTCAATCTATTTTCAATCCAAGTGTAACGACCTAGACGAGTCTAGACGGCCGCCTAGGTAAGTTCAAGTGTTTTTTTTTTTTGTTTTGCTTTGTATTTTCAAATGCTTAGAGATTTATCATGGTTATAACTAGCTGCCTAGCGCTCAGATGGGACTAGGCAAATGAAATTCACTCGTTTGAGTAAACTACCGGGCGGTAAAACTGGAAAAGTTGTAAAATTTTCACTTCTGTTGAACGGTTACTTGAGAAATGACCCACTGCAGGAAACAAAATGTTTACAAAGTATAACCTTAAAGCCTGATTTGTACAACAATCATCAGAAAATGTCCAAAATATTGTACACCCTATCATCAAAAGAACCAAATCAGCAAAAAAAGAAAGATATTAGGCCATCTCCGCCATCACCGCCCCGTCAATCTCCATGCTAACCTCTGCAACTACATTCTAAAAGGCCACCGTCTCCCGGCAATTCCCCTACCACAAGATTTGCTCTCCACCCTATAACTACAAGTTTCTCCTCCTGCAACAAACTGAGAACCGAAAAATGGAACACTAGCCACGGTCAATCTGCGCTAAAATCATCGAGATTTAATCCCGAATGAAGTAGTATAAAAGTATCTATCTGAGTGAGACAACCTATCAAGTTGCCCCGGAGGCTGCACTAACCCCACTACCATCCCTCAGCCCTTGAAGCACATATGCAGTGTCCTTTGCACATAGTCAGCTACGATTCTTAACCTTCCTTGACTACCGTCTACTCCTGAACTACCCTGATGTTCCACAGTTCGAGCAACCTTGTTTTTACACTTCTCCCAGTCATCAACGCGCAACCAGCAAGCTCGACCTCCATGGCTTCCTTCCATACCAAGAAAGGACACGCTAGGATTTTCGCCAAATGAATACCTCAACCTCACTGAGACGCAGTATGGCAACCATGCAGCTCCACCAGCGGCGTTTATAGGAGGTATGTGAGCAGGATCAAGAACAAGTGTCAATGCAAAATCAACTGAGTTATGAGGCCGATTATAATAAATATTACTTTTGGCAACAGATGAATTATCTGAGCTCCCATCCATACTCGAGCCAGCATGGTTTTCAAGGCATAATTCAATACGGGGTTTTTGAGCAGGTGATACATCTCCCCCTTGTGCCTGGGCTAGTCCTTTTTTCCATGCTATTAATTTCAAGAATTCTCTTAGAACTGATATGGGTAAGGTAAGGAGAGTAATGAATGACGCGACACGAGATGCATCATAAGGCTCTGAAGCAACACGCCGACTGAAGTAGTCACATATTTCTCCTATTTCGGCTGTAGATAATTCCTCATTGGCAGTGTTTGTATTTGGCTGTTGCCCTTGTTGCTGCTGCTGATGGAATCGTTTCACGCTCAGTACTTGAAGAAGAAGTTGAACTCTGTGAACACTTACAGCAAATACATAGCCACTGCAGAAAAACAAGCAATCAGATCAAAGAACAAGTAGATAAGCCTGGAAGTATTTAGCAAAACCTTGTACAGATAAACATCATCCGAGGACCACTAATGTTAAGGGTGAATATTATCATGTAACATAACCAACTGAAAGTGATCTGGTACAAGTATTGAACATAAAATAGGGAAGTTTTAATAAACATAAAATATCACAAACGTGTATCAGTGTGTCCATCTTGTCAGGATGTTTTCTTAGGGCACTTCCCTTTGTTTTAGCATAACTCATCAACAACGATAAAAAGGAAGATGGAATCACACCATCGAAAAGAATAAGAATTCGAAAATAAAGTTTCTGAGATGTGTAAAGATTTGCCTGAAAGCACTTACCCAACAAAGAATCTCAAGGCGGGCTGCTCCTGGTCTAAATTTAGAAGTGAGCCTTCATTGTCTTTCAGAATTGACCCCAAAATCTCTTTCAAGAGCCCTGGTAGCTGGGCAAATAGCCATAGAACTCCAAGGTACTTGAGAATACCTCTTAGCACCTTTTTAAGAGCAACAAGAGGAACCCAACCACCTCCATACCCTCCGTCATCTCCAAGACCAATAATGGCTGTATTCAGTTCTCCTCTCACATGAGCAGGGACACCAGGACCTGGGGATCTACGTAAAGCCGGCCCTGCTGAGCTCACAACAGCCAAATTTGAGGATACCAGAGAAGCATTTCCGACACGGTTTAAACCAGCTACTTGGTTGTTGCCTGTCCTGGACATAGCAGCAGAACCAGGGAGGTTAACCCTATTTCCATTTACAGTAGACAGTTGGGAACCTGAACTTGGGGTTTGATTGATTGAACTTGACAGTCCTGTCTGCTGACCACCGGTGAAATTAGTATCTAAACCATTCAATTCTTGGGCTACATGCTCCATAATAAATGGTCTAAATTGAGGGCAAGGTAGTGACCCACCAATGGAAGGGCCCCCCTTGGGTGGGGTTGCTGGTTGCAACCAAACCTGATCTCCTGCAAAACAGCGCATGTCAACCGCGAAGTGCTTTCGGTATATGATCCGTATCCAATAGGGTCCACGTAGCACAACAGAGACATCAATGGGCAACAGTGAGCTGGGTACAATGCCAGGTCCACCTCGGCCAGCACCAGCTAAACCAGCAGCCCCATGCGGGCTATGATTTGCAAGAGGCCCTGTAGAAGGAGATGAAACTGCGTTCCCCATAAGGCCAGGAGACTGACTGGCATTTGTGGTTGAACTAGTAGGCATAAGGCCCTGAGATGGTAAGTACCCAGCCTGCTTTGGGATAGAAGAGAGGACTGCTCCTCCAGGGACCCCCGGTATAGGACTAGCTCGTGCAGGTCGTGTTGCCGCTGCAAGAGCATGCAAGGGCCCTGCAGTGAGTCGAATGCAATCCAAAAGTGAAGCAACTTCAGCTCCATTTATGAAATCTTCCAGGAACTGTAAAGAACAAAAAAGGTATTGTTATTAATGCAAATATTTTTAATCAGAAACAAATTGGGGCGAAATATAAAGTTATCTCTGTAATACGTAAATCTAAATTGCTTCAAATGCATGTCAAAAACTATTTTTCAATGACTACTTTTCAATGACTACATTTTGATGTAATCCTTCGTAAAGCAACTTTGATAGAATTGTGCATGCAGTTTTAATGTACCTTTTTTGATGTCATTAAGGCACTTAGCAAAATCCTAATCCAATATCAAAAGATTTTTCCATGGAACCACCAGAAAATAGTTGAAATTATATTTTGAAATTTCCGAAGATTTCTATTAAATTCATTAAAGATGGCATGTTCAGGCACAACCACTGAAGAAAACAAAATCCGAGGATGCATGCAGGACTCAGTTTCACATAAGGTAAACAATTAAGATTCATAAAATATCACTTCACACCAAATAAGAATGCAATCAATTGAAAATGCTCAAACAAACAAACCAGAAAAGATAAAGTAGATGAATGTACCTTGGTATGGGGCCAAAGTTGGTCGGGGGTTACATGCATAGTACAACCCTCTTTACCTGACTCCCACTCTACAACAAAGCGAGCAAGGACACCTGATCCAAAACTGAACCACAGACTCATAAGTCCAACAGCCTCAATTCTAAATGCCCTTCGCATTTGCTCAGATAGTCTATCAGTTGCCTCAGGAGAAACTTTGACTCCTAGTGCTTTAAAATCAGGGTTTGTACTACTTTCTTCTGGCTTCTCATCTGCTCTTACACCAAGCAATCTCCGCATCCCAAGGGCAAACATTCTTGCATTAGAAAGTCTTTGGATGTCAGCCACTAACTTCTTAATACTATCAGCCTCCACAGACTGATAACTAAGAACAACACCCTCTGGATCATAGCGAATATGAGAGTCAATGTCAGATGTATTGGCAATTCGAACACCAGAACCCCAAGGTGTACCATTGCTTCCTTTCTGAAGCTCCCACAAATCCCTGAAATGCTGGTCATTTATTTTGACATCCCAATAAATGCTTCCAGGTCTGCCAAGTCGCAAGCATAAGTGTTGCCATGCATCACCTCTGGCAAATGGAAGTCGAAACCATATGTTTGATGATGTACTTCTTAGACCCACTTCTTCAACATAAGGGATATCCAGAGCCGCCATCTGGCTAGTTAATCTGGCATGCTTAATACAAAGAGAACAGTGTCTGATCACATGAAGAAGAGCTGAAACATAAATGCTGGAAGGTGCATTTCCCTTATTTGCTTCAGATATCAGATCCCCGAAACTGTTTACTTCAAATTTTGAAATTATATCCCTTGACATAAGCATCTGTGAAGAAGACTGATGAGGATGAGTTACTTCAGAAGTTTTCCTCCTTTTAAAAACTCCTGAATCGGCTTCCACACCCTGAAGTGATGGGATCAAATTCAACATATCTGAAACTGTGCGTTTGCGAGGTTTTCTATCATTTTTCGAAACATCATGGTTAGGGCTATGACATACTCCCGAATCTGGGACCTGGGCTGGCAAAGAAAAAAAGTGTAGCAATCTCAGTAAAGAGTATAAATAGTACCAAAGAAATATGCATAATGCAGGCTTCCCTCACAATATAAATATCACAGAGAAAGTATCTTACATACGGGAGTGGTTGCATATGAGTTTGATCCGGCAACTCTGGAAGGTCCAGTTAAAGGCCCGATAGGTGTACTTTTGGGCCCGTTGGGTCTCACACCAGGCCCAGAAATTCTGGGACCAGTAGACCGAGGTGGAGATAATAACCGGGATGATTTATTCCCATATATTGCACCCTTTGAAGTTTCATTCATAAATCTCAGCTGATCTTCATCCACTGAAGTACCAGAACCATACTCAACTGACTGTGGAGACCTAAGAGAAGCCAAATCCTGATCAGATTTTGACACTGGTATTTTCCTCACAGTGGCACTCCTTCCTGGGCCAGAAGGTAGATTACCAAGAGAAGCAGAATGTACGGGGCCTTTCAAATTATTTGATGGATATAAGGATCCATTATAGTGGGTGGCCATGCTAGAAAGATTTGAAGAATTATTTAACTGTGATATCTGCATAACTCCTTCCCATTTAGGAGAGGGACAATTCATCGGAGCAGATCCAAAATGAGAACCAGGAACAGAAAAAGGAAGTACAGATAACCCCTTCTCTAGTTCAAACACTTCATCTACAACAGAAGAAAAACTCGAAGGTGGACACCCTGCAATAGGCATAGAACCTTCATTGCTGATATCCGAAAGAAAACCATTTTCAGAAGACTGATTAGAACCCCTGGAACTGGGCAGAAGGATTGTAGTTTTCCCAAGTCAAGCAAGCTTAAATTCATATCATCTTCATGCATCTGCATCTGGCTAACATCAATTTTCTTGATCCGCATCACTTGGTTTAAGTCATTTAAAGAATCGGGTTTTCTAGATGGATCTGGCTGAGTTTCAAGCAATTTAAATAGGGGTTTAAAGTCCTTATCAAGTTGCATCAGCAAGAAATAAGAGCTCCCGCAATCAGGAAACCCCATTAGCAACATAGTTGAACCATTCAAAATGTTCTTCGGTATTTTAACTGCAGGAAAACTATGTTCATACACCTGCAAGAACACAGTTCATATACAGTGAATCTGCACGTAACCGTCAACAGTCCAGAAGGCAATGCCCTAGTGATTTTTCTTCTTGAAAATAATGTCAAAAGAAGAAAGAGAATGTTTACCTCAAGCCCTAGAAATCGGCCAGTAGATGCAAATAAGTGCAAAATACTTCTGCTTCTCAAATTTATGAAAACTTCAGCTGCAGTCATACTTCCTTGATTTAAAGTATCTTCACATTCAGACAAAACTCCCGAAGGAGCAAGAATATTATGAGAGGACTGAAGACGAAATCGCCCATTCCTGCAAGTCAAAAATGTTACAGAAGACACCTTTCTAAAGCATCTACTTAAGCATACCAAAGTTGCGTCTGAATGAACCACCAAGAATGTCTAAGATTCTAAGAATCAGAAAAACTCCTAAAAAGTACATCAAGAACTTGTTCCAAAGTCTAACCAGAAACAATATTGGCTGCACATCTTTCTTAGTTCATCCAATCAGTTTTTTAAGTCCGTTGGCAAGTCTTAATTCATATATCCTGTAATAATATCCTGATAACCGTATAAGCAAGGATACCTAATGTTTATTCCCAGGGTGAAAAATGATGAGCCATAGGCGCGCACACGTAATACTTCCTGCCCTTCATATTCTCCAGCATTGGACTTATCTTCTTTCTGCACACAGAAAATTAGGATATCAAAATGTGAAGAAAATGAACCATGAAAAACACATTCATGAAAATACAGTATTATCCTGAGACAACATTTAAGAAGAAAAAAAAAAGAATAACCAGAATGAAGAACCAGAACCAAGTAACAAGAAAATGTGAAACAACCTTTTTATGGTCAACATCCGCTTCTTCCACATGAGACTGAAGAGAAACATCCCCTGCACCTCGCCAGATTTGAACATTTTTCACCAGCTCTTTCTGAATTTCAAGCAGACGAGTATATCTGTTACAGCAGATGGCTCTCAGAAGCAACCTCTCAACATCAATACAGTTTTGGTCAAGAGAAAATTCTGCCTCCTTTCCAGTTAATGGATCTATGACAAATGTGCTATGAAGACACTTTATCTGCAGATCCGGTCCTGGTTCAATTTTTATAGACGGACATGATGCTGAATCAGAAATACCATTGTTTTTATCAAAATCTAACCAGTATAAAAATTTTAACCCTGGTGTTCGTAGACCAGATGAATCAGTTTCTCCATCTTGATTTAATTGTGCAGAGGCAGAAGTCCCTGCATGACTCATGCTCCCATCGGATATGAGCTCAAATCGAATTGCATCTTTCCATCTACCTTGCCGAAGAGCTTGTACTTGCCTTGTGACAGTGCCCATGATAAGTGCAACACAAAGCTCATGTAGAACTGAGTATAATATCATGAACGGATTTTCTGTAGCAGCCATTCTGCGCTCTAAATCATCCCCAAGAAGATGCCGCCGCGATACTTCAAGCTTTACAGGTCCACTTCTCTCACCAACAAGCAGTTCCAAATGCAGTATCCTCCACATTGATAGGTGCCCTCGGTAGCCTAGAGTCACCAAAACCTTGAATTCTCCATCAACACGAAGCACTGCTGTACCATCGGAGACTTTAACATCAGTAATTTCTTTTGGAAGTGATACTTCCAGTAATTTAGATCGCACAAGTGTGTCCAGCTTTTTCAAAGCCGGCTTCTGCTGTTCCTCATTTAGTGAGCTCTGGATGCCCACGTCTTCTACACATTTCGGCAAACGCTGATATGACCCTGTTAGGAGGATTTCAATTGCAGATGGAACATCATAAACAGGAGCACAAGCTTGCTGCAGCCCATCATGCATGAAAAATAGTGAATCTGCTGCTTGAGTGAAACAGGTATCATGACTTGATAGAGTGGAGGTAAGTTGCTGGCAGTATTGTATTAACGGGACCTGCAAATAGAAATGCATGGATAATATTAACAGCTGAAAATTTATAGCTTCCGAGTTGAAAAGTGCTTATAGGGATTAAAATAAATTTCAAGGAACATGAAGCATCGGGGACACTATAAACTCTGGGCATATCAGCATAAGGCATGGTTCATAGAACTTCACACTAACCAATAAGCACATCCATGGCATTGCTTTTGACTTCAAAATTCAGACACTACTGTGTACCTACAATAAAACAACTAGTTCCTATCACGAGCTAATAAACTGTCGTATAAGTCACCTTTTCAACCACCTAAAGACATAAAGAAACATGCACCAGCAAATCATCTTCTATATCCCAGAAGGGAGAAACCGAATTCGTATCCTACCACCAAAAACAACCGTAAAGTAACATAATTTAACGCATAATTCACAAAATATGACGCAAAATGTATAACTTTTACACCCAATTGGCCGCCAAATAAAAACCCAAAATCGATTTCTTGAGTGAGGCAGTAGAACAACGAGACCTGTTGGCACCACTTGGCGAGGACATTGAGCCGGAGCATGCGTTGCTGGGTCTTAGCCAAGTACTTGAGCAGTCCAATTTTCTTATCGGTATCGGACTGGTCCGGCGCCCCCTTCGATTTCTCGGTGAGCTCTTTCAGCGCGAGGAAGGATTCCTCGGCGGCGCGGCTCACCAGGGCGGAGAACTCCACCGTCTGTTGCCCTAGCTCCGACGCCATTCTTGTGGTTCCGGAATTGAGAGAAATCAGATTGGGATTCGAAAGATCCGCAGCTGCTGGGATAAGATTAGGGCGTTAAGGTTTGTAGAGAGAGAGAGAGAGAGAAGGGAGCTACTGTGGTCTTTCAGGTCTCTCTCCATAGGCGTCGTCGTGTTCGTGAAGGGCTTCTGATTCTTTCGAAAGTTTTCAACTTTTAAGAGTTCTAGAGAGAGAAAGTGTAGAGAGAGAGAGGAGGAGGAGGTGAAATGTAAAAAAAAATTATTGTGACGAAAACACGTAGAGGTACATTCACGTGTTTTTATATATATACATCACGTATTTTTAGGATGGTGTATTCAATTGAGAATTTGAGAGATTTTAATGGATTTATAAATCCATGGATTTTTATGGAGTTTAATTGATTTGTAGAGATTCCATGTAAAATTTTGATTCAATTCCCTCGAAATCTCTTGAGGGAAGTGAGATTTGTGGATGCTCAAAATACACTACGAAATCTCTCCAATTCCTTCTAATTCCTCAACTTTCTCAAATTCTTTAAAATCAAATTCTAATTGAATACACCTGGAATGTTATAAACTTCTTTAAAATTCTAATTGAATACACCCGGATTTCTAAGGATTTTCATAAACTATCTTAAAATCTTGATTGAATACACATTGAATTTCAGAGAATCACTTAAATTCCTGATTGAATACCCTTAGATTCATTAAAAGAATTAAAATCCCTCAAAATCCTAATTGAATACACCCCCTTATATAAATGACGTGTTGGGTGGCAGAATAAAAGTTAAATGATTCGCCTTTAAATAAGTATACATTTGAAGAAAAACTTACGTTGAGTTGTTGCATTTTTGTAATGTGGCAATCGCCGAATGACAAAATAGTTTACTTAATTAAAAAATTCGTATATCTTCAAATTTGGAGAAAAATGTATATGGCAATGTCAATCTGGCTTCGTTATAATAATTAAGATATGAGATGTGTTTAAAAATAAAATTTATGTGTTAATTTTATGAACATACCATCTTTTACGTTGTTTTTTTACTGAAAATTCACACGTTATGAACAACCTCGCACAATATTTATTTAAGTAAATCCCATATAAAAATTAAATTTTTATTTTCTTTCAATGGTATAAAATCTCGACTTTCTTGTTGGTTAATCTTGTACTCCTATTGCTTATTCGACTTAAGTTATTTGGCCAAGATAATGTGTTCACTCGTGCTCCTCATAAATTAGAGTAATTTAAAAATCATTTAATAAAAAAATGCACACATATCCAAAGCAAGTTGAATCTAGAATTTAGTATTTTTCAAAATTGGCATGATGCTTTGTATCAAATTTGGGAAAAGTATTTAGAAAAAAATAATTTAGTGGATGAAAAGCTTTCTGGAATAACGAAGGGTAATGGTTGTTTAAGAACCCAACATGCACGTACGTACTCAAACTTAGGGCTGATTTGGTATTACTGTGCTTCGAAAAAAAATTGATTTTGTTGTGCTGTGAGAATAAGCTCATTTTTGTTGCTTCACATTTTCAGCTTTTTTTTTTCACCGAAAACTGTGAAAATAAGTTGTTTTTAAGTGTTTACCAAACATCTTTTTTAGCTTAGTTTTTTTTTATACCCATTTTTTATAAAAGCACCTCAGTACCAAATCAGTACTTAAGATGTTGTTGCAGCAAACCTAAGGTCAGTAGCGAAGGGAAGGTGGATGCATTGGATGTATTTGACCCCAATAACTTACTTTTCCACCAACTAAATTCAAGACTTCGCCACTTAAAACTTCTGTCTAGTGGTATTCCTTTTCACTTATAAGTGAGAGATCTTAGGTTTGATTCTTTTCAAAAGTGAATTTGAACTACATTAATGTAGATAATATCGTTTGTTAAAAAAAAAAAATTCCCCGCAAAAATTTTGAAATTTGCTTGACAATTTTATATATGTTCCAGGTAATTAAAGTCATTGTCTTCCATTAACCAATATGTGTTTAATTTGAGCATTTGATGTTATTATACATTGAAAATAACATTTGTGAAGTCTCTGGTGTATGTTTATTAAGCATAAAAAAGACCTAGACTTAATTAGTACCAACAAAATACAAGAAGTTGAACATAAAAGTAAGCTTATATGCATGTCGTGCGGTCTATTATCCTAGTAAATAAAGTGTAAGTTTCTACTCATGCGTCCTAATTAAGTTCGAAACTCTCATTCCTCTAAATTATTGTAATAGTTTCTAACTCCCATAAAAAAGATCTCTGCAAAAGTATACTAAGTCTCTAGTGTAATCAGTTTTTTTTTTTTTTTTAAATTTCCGCCCCCCATTGCAATCAAATCCTGGCCGCCACTGCCTACGGTGCTACAATTTGCTTTCTAATGGCTGCTTGAACTGCATACATAATCTACAAAGCAAAGCAATGCATCAACTTAACATACATATTGAAGGGTTTTTCTACGGTAGGCGTTAATATAGGTGTACCAAATTTTATAACAAAACGTGTGCAACTCAAATGTCTTTCAAGGACCATAAAACATTGTGCACCCGTGAATTTTTGTATAAGGAAAACTCAGCAGAAAAACTTGAATAATCAACAGGCACCAAATGATAATTAAGTTTTATAAATTCATTGTCATTTTTTTTAATACGATGATATATTTACATTTAGGGCTCTTATAATGCTACTGATAATGTATATAGACCGGTGGAGCAGCCTAAGCTTCATCTACGATTGAGGAACTCGAATGGAAGAGAAGGATTGACGTCGAACCGCAGTTAACAAAATGTCCCAACGACGATTGAGGAACTCGAAGGGAAGACAGCGAGATATTGCAATGAACAAAAAATTTCAAAGGCTGAATGCTCCATCAGTAGGAAGAGATCAAAGATGATGCTTCCGGCAACCAAGATTTCGGACCACAAGATAGGGCAAATTGCAAAGATGGGTTGTAATAGTTGGGATCTGTTTTAACATCAGCAAATATCAACAGAAAAATTGTACTGAAATTCAATGCAACAACGAAAAATTTGGACCCAAACTTTTTTTTTTATCGTTTCTTTTCTTTGTACAACTCTCTTTGAAGAGAACATGAACAAACTATACATGAAAATTTTCCTTGTTCTTCTCCTTGTAAATATTTTCTATTACAACTCAACAAAGTTTATATTTTTTCATCGAAAGCCCGAGCTCTATGTCTTCATGAGAGAAAACACGACTTAACCTCTTCTGATTTCGTCTAATTGTTCTTCGATCAGAGCGGGCAGCAGCCTAAGCCTTTCGCTTCCGAACCCTTCATGATTCTCAACCTCTTGCACGAGGCGATGAACATCTCCCACGGAACATCTCCAAGCAGCATCCAATCTCCATCTCTGTCTTCATAAGTAGGTACAAATTCTGATCTGTTATTGTACCCTAAATCCTTCTCACAATAATCACCAACTTTGAACTTGAACATGTCTTCCAACGCTTTAAGCAGTTCAGTATACCCTCTGTACACCTTCAAATCTATCTTTCTTAGATAAGGAGCTCCATCCATGCTTATCTTGACATAAATCCCGGCTGCCTCCGCCTCGGTTTTCTTCGCTTGGAGGCAGGTTTTCCGGTATGATCTCACCGGCGGCCACCCTACTACTTGTGCCCTGAAATACATAACCAGATTAGTTTAAGTTGTTTGACCTCAAATTAATCACTAACCATGTTATTTAACAACCCTAATCATATAATTAGCATCTAGTTTATATGTAACAAGATTGCTTACTTGGAAGGTGGAGGCTGAGAAATTTGCTGGTCGGATCTTTTGGCGGATGAAGAATCATTGTCTTCGTCGTTCATGTCGGGTTGCAGTGGTCTTTTGTTGCTCTTGCTAATCAAAGTAGTAGAATATGTGTTCTGCTCGGAATCCTTGGTGCCCGGTAACCCTAATCTTAGCTCTGTGGCTTCAAGATCCTGCGCAAACATTGCCATGATTTCTCTGTGTGTTTCTTCAAAGATTGTTCTTCTGCTCAAACTTTGACGGTGAACTAGCAAATAACCAAGTCGTGAGTATTCGGTGATGGAGGCTTTGAGGAGAGGGGAGATGAATATAATTGTGTGGAGGGCAAATGAAGATGAATGGTATTATATAGATTAGAAGTGGAGATAAAGTCATAAAGTTCAAGGACACTGTCTAGGGAAATTAACAAAAGTTAGGTACTTGCATCTTTCTTCCTTTTGCGCGTGCATGCCACATTGTTACACAAATTTTACGGATGGAAGGTAATACGTGCTAAGGGTTTTTTCAAGTGATAACTTAACATGGTATATTGTTGAACTGTTGATAGAAATTAGATATGTAAAGAAAATTTTCTTATGCATTTTTGTTACAAGAATAAAAATAGGAATGTGTAACAATTATTTTAATTGACCCCAGAATTTGTATGTGTAAGATATAAAATGGTCGTGAACTTAAGTTTTAGAACTGAATAACCATTTCAAGACAAGAAATCGACATTTTAAGCTTTAAGTGATGATTCTACACAGTAAGCAAATAATCAACCATGCCAACACATGTTATTTGAATTGAAGAATATTGATTAAAAGTTATGCATTGTCTTTAAGAAAGATCGAACATAGTGCACAAAAAATGACAGTTAATTGACAATCTGATCTCATAACATGCTATTTTACATGTAATTTACATGGATGTACGTAAAATGAGAAAGTGGATGTCACGCACCATAAAATAGCGTGGAAGGAGCAAAATTAGGCAGGTATGAATTAGACATGGGCAGCTATGGTGTTTGTAACACGAGCGGCACATTTGAGGCGGTTGTCCTTCCAAATTGGGACAAGCTTGGGACAAACCTTAGCCGCCCAAATTGAAGACTTTGATTTTCTAATCCAACGACCCAGATGAATCAATCGATTCCGCGGTATCTGGGACCCTCGGATCCAGAAGGGCTATGGCTGGTGGGTGCATTCCATGTGAGGTTTGGGACCCACATGGGCAGTCGTTGATGGGCATGGCATGGTGTAATGAGAGGATTTGGATTTTATCCGAACTATCTTAAAAATTCTCACATCTTAATTATTTATTTTGTATCGTGAAATCATAAATTATTTAATTTTTTTATTTAAAATTAAATACAAATAATAATGAATGAAAACTGACGGTATAATTATGATAATCAGTTAAGATGTGAGAATTTATAGATTCCTACAAAATAGATTTGGAGAGGATCCTCTTCCGTAATGGGGTGGTCCGGGCAGAAGAATGGGCTTGACTTTAATTAGGGCAAAAGTTAGGGCATGTTTTTCGGCCATGAGCCCTTGCATCAATACGCTCCGTTTCCTTCGAGTCCACGAATATACTTTTTTTTTTCTAGATGATACCTTTATTAACCCTATGTTTTAATGATATTTTTCTCGATTTAGAATTGAATTTTTTTATTATACTTACGTGGATTACAAATAAAATCACAACAAAAAAAAGATTGTATGTAAGTTTTCATATTCAAATCGCTTAAATTAGCAGCAGGAGAACCGTACTAACTTGACGCCGTTACTATTTTAGGGCTCCACATGAGAAGAAAAAGGGTCTTAGGGTTATTTTGTGATGCACATAAACTGAATCCCACATCCCACATAATAGAATATCGTTGCATAACTAAAATATTAAAATTAACTAAAATTTAACAAACAATGTCAAGATTCATTATGGATGAATATAGCAATCTAAATTAAGGCTTTGATTGATTGTATCTGTTTATATGAAAGTATTTCACAACCTTCCCCTTTTTTGTGCATCTCTTGTCCAGTTTTGGTATTATGAAATGGCTTTAGAGGTAAGAATTATTCACCAATAGTTGTGAGACTATATTCAGTTTGTATACATTTAAATATAATTCCTTCGGAGAAATGTTGGATTTGTGTAGAAAGTTAAGTGAAACCTATAAGAAGCATGCTACGATTAGTCACGAACATATGTGTAAACTAATCCTAATCATTTTTACTTTTATGACATTGCGTAAATAGTTGAATTTAACTCACAGTATGCATGATTGATCTGTAACTTCTCTCAATTTTGACAATTATTTAGAGGGAAGGGCCAAACTAACAAGAGACACAAAGGGTCCACAAGTTTTCATTAATTTTATTTTCATGACAACAAATAATGAGCCCTCCTTCGGCCGATGATGGTCGATAAATAAGACCCCATAGAGTTAGGTTCACATCCTTTGGGACCCGACCACAACGAGCCTCTTTTACGCCATCTCCAGCTACACACACACACACACATATTTCTTCATCTTCATCCTTGCCTAATATTATCAATTTGCTTATGTTGTTAGTTTCTTACAGGGCTTTCATATATAAGCTAGCTACTTTCTTTCACTTGTCAGCTGTGACCAAACATATTAGTATATATAGTTTCTCATAACGCTACTTCAAATTCTTCCAATTTCAAAGTATAGGTTGTAAATGTTGGGTAACATTGGATAGAACAAAAGAAAAAACAAAGAAGTGCTGCGTCATTGGCTTTATGTACACAAGTAAAGATACGTATTAGTGTACATGTAGAAGTAGTTAGGTTAGTTCAACTGCAAATATATTGTTCAATGTGACAAGAGAAATACACAAGCCGATTCAGAGATTATGTTGTGTCTAATTCTTCATTGGCCATGGTTTTGTTTGTGGCTAAGCTTCAAAGGCTGACATGTATTTGTTGTATGGTAAAACTTCAACTTCCTTTAACATGTACAATATTTGTTTACTACCGGTTTTTAGTAGCGTGTTACACATTAGTTGTCTTAGAGCCTCGTATTTATAGGCATCTCCACCTTGATTGAGGCTTGATTTGGTCTTTATTTTGAACTCAATTAATTGATGAAATCACCAAGACTTGATTTGGCCTTGGTTCGTTATTTGACTTCATCAAATAATCTTGATTTAAATCAAATAAACCAATCACATTTTATCCTTAATTTGGTCGTCATCCTTGATTTGACCAATCTCTCTAATTTGGCACTCATTTTGTTTATTATTTTCTTTAATTTAAATCAATTAATTGCTAAAAGTCGACGCGTGCCTCATGACTCGTCCGGTTTTAATAAGTCACATGTCATATGTGCAACTTGACCCATATTTATTTCACCAAAATTTACATTTCTAAGCATATGATAAATCTAATTTGAAATGGATCCTCAGTTTCGTTTTCTCATTAAATTCTTGGCAAGGTAGGAGGGGGACAATACACTCGTGACCTCAACAAAGCCACGTTTAGGATTTTTATTTTTTGCCTTTTGAACTTGATGTGAAGCTTCTGATAAAAAGACATGCCCATGATGCTGTGTGTTTTGATGGGAAATAAACGGTTGTGAATAAAGAGCTCTCCGTATACGAACAGTAGATTGACTGCTGTTCCGTTTGGTTCCACAGAAAATTTGCTGTTCCGGTATATAACATTTACAGGAGCTTTTGAAGATAGATCTTGACCATTGGATCTTGACGGGAACACCGACGACAGAAAACTTCACTAGATAAAATACTCCCATAGCATCTAGAGAATCCGCGATAAAAATGTGAAATTCAGAAGCTGCAACTGAGTCACTGAGACTCGTGGACCATGAAAGAAGAAGAAAAGGTTAATTCAAGCTTCAAGCCAACAGCATCGCCCTATTAAAAGCACACGTGTGGTGTCCGTCTGTCCTGTCTCCTGTTCGATGCTGATGGATTGTTGTGCTGGGTTTTTTGGTTCCATGCTAATTACTTCACACGTGTAGGGTCTAGAGAGGTGTAGGATGCTGACAGTTGGGTCCTGGATATTTGAAGGAGAAGGGTCCACGCCACACGAGGGACTCTCATTCTCTCTATTAAGTCGTTTGTTTGGTGGTGGAGGGCAGGCCCCTGCCATATGTGTTTTTCTGAGTTTTTGTGTTTCGTCAGCTTTTATGAGAAAATTGAATCAAAGATGGAGCAGTTTGTTTCTTGTTGGCCATCCATGGCGATGGATGAACCAGCCATGAAATATCATGCAACATTTAACATGGCCTATCACGCAACATTTAACATGGCCTTGTGGCCCATGTCTATAGCTTTCTGAAACGTCCATCCCTGCAACGGTTGCAACCCTAGCTCGTTGCATATGCAAAGATGTTTTTATTTCCTTATTAGTTGATTGCACGGTTAGCACCTAACAATCTGAACTAAAACTAAATGTTCCAAAAAACTTCCAACACCAAACATCCGACAAAGCTTTAGCTTTCTTCCTCTTTCCTAGAGACTCATAGAGTTATTTTCAATGCGTTTGTGCTGAAAATTTTATTATTAATTATCTTTTGGATGGCGTAGTATAAAAGCCGTTGTTGTGTTGTAGTTTGTTGTCGTCGGCCCGTTGCTGCCGACTTTAGCTTCGTCTTTGTTGCCGTTAATGTGTTGTAGTTTGTTAATTATATTGATTCTTTTATAATATAATTATTCATTTACCAAAAATTTTAAAGAAATCAACAATAACGTTGCATAAACGTCATCAAAAATATTTTTATGGTGTTATGTGGATGTCATAGTACGTTCAGACTTTCCACGACTCCTCGATTTACGACATGTTTTGTGACATTTGAAAAACGTTATAGAAAGGTTTCCACATTCTTTTTCAAACGTTATGAAATGTGTTTTATCAAGACTAATAGTTTGTTATATTTGAAGAGAGCGAGAGAAAGGAAAGAGATAAGAAGCCTGCGAGGATCACAAAAAAGTTGTCGGAGGGATAAATGTAGCCCGCTAGAGGGCTACAAGTTGCCATACCGAGAGCTATTTGTAGTCATCTTTGCTTGCTGACTAGGATATAGACTCCTTATTGAAGAATAACTTACACAATCAAGCTAAAATTAGCATATAGTTATTGGTTGTAGATGATCTTAAGAGAGTCAATTTATCATTAAACAAATTTTTTTTGTATCACTTTAATTGACCGCATGTCTAATAAAGTGAAGAGGTTTGGGGTTTCATCCTAAAACCAATTGACAATATAGAAAGTAGCCCAACTTACTTATAAGCTCATGCAAGGTCTCTCCTCCTAACAATGTGTGATTCATTCTCAACATGTCTCTTCATGTGTGGTAAC